CGCCCCCGAGGCCTTCATGGTGCTCCACCTGAGGATGAGGGTGGTGGAAGAGCAAACCAGCGCGCTGGTGCGAGACCTGGAGGCACTCGGCGTCGATGGGCAGAGGTATGGAGGAAGCAGGGGTAAGCTCTTTCCTTCTTGGGGAGCTCACGCTTGTCTTGATTTTCCACGTCTTGTTCCTCTTTGCACCCATTTGCTATGCTTTGCTCTTCTCTCTGTGAGGGACGTGGTATCAGCAGAGTTGGCGAGAACGGGCTACAGCAACCCGGGGTCACAGGAGACCTTCCAGCCGTATGAAACATGGTTTCTAATCTCATCACATCTGTAATGCATATGTGCAATGTCAGGTAGGTATGCACACACAGAGTAGGTCAGTTTTTTCTCCTTTTCAGCCTCGATCGTTTCCACTCAAAGACCTCAGGAATGCCTGCTAGTCACCCAGCCATTAGCCCTGTGCAGGCCAGGGTAGCATTTGTGGGAGAAAATACACTGTGGAGAAACTGTGAAACACTGGTGAATCGAATGTGTCGGTTAGAGAGTGTTGTACAGACACTGAAATTAAACATCTTCCGGCTGCAGACAGAAAAGGAACTGAATCCAAAGCATGCAGGTAGTCAAAGAGTTGGGTTTTTGACCACTTTGATTGTTGTCCCTCCCTATGCTTTTTCTGTCAATGGAAGTTTTTTGCCTTTTCCTTGTGGCAGCCCAGTTGGAGCAGCGCCTGAATGCAGTCCATGAGGAGCATTTGCAAGAAATGAAGATTGTACAGCAAGAAGCAATGAAGTTGCGCCAACACCTAAGTGATATGAAAGAGGCTGAAGAAAGGGCAAAAGAAGAAGTTCAGAGACTGAGTACTGCTTTGGAGATTACAACTGCATCCAAGGTACAAAAGATTATGATCTTCTTATAGTTTCAAGTATTAACAGACTTGTGTTTAAGTACATTCATCTATGACATAGTTAAACAGAAAGTATACTCAGCTGGAAAAAGGAGTTTATGATATATTGTTGGCAGTAAGAGCAAACACTTTTGATAGTGAGAATCTATGCTTCCATCAATTAAAAAAAAAAAAAGCAAATAAAGAATAAAAATATTTGAGATTTGTAATTCTCTCATCTTGGTGACTTAAGTTCATCCTAGCTTTCATGCGTAGAGTTCTCAATAGCTTTTCTGTTTTTCCAGGAACTTTAATTTCTCTGGTATTTCAGTCTTACACTTTTATTACTACCTCCCGTGAAGAGAACTTCAATGGAGTATGTCACTCAATCTGATTAATTGTAGTAAAGAATGCATTGCTTGTTAGTGCTTGCACTCTTATATTTAGTGCTTCAGAATAGAGAACATCAGACTGGAGATAGAAATCAAGTTCTAGGTGTTAGTGTGACAGCTGCATTTTATAATACCTATTGCTTTTGCAATAGTTACGAACATGAAAGGATAAAAATATCTGTGCCTTTCATCTTTTTTAGATGGGTGTAGTGATTGCAGCTGAGGAACTGAGGAACACAAAACAGAAAATTAACTGTAGACTTCAGGAGGTAAGTACAAGAGCAAGGAGCTTAATGGGAGGCTGAATTTGCCAAGTATTATTTATAGATTTAAAGAAGACACTTAAATGCTATTCTGGGTGCAATTTTGGAAGGTGCACAACCTAAAGGAACCTGCTAGCCATGCTTATAACTAAATACCCAGACAGAACACCTTTCGTATATGATCTCGAAGTATTTGTTCAATCTACTTAATTAGATCTGGCTCAGAAAATTATTATTTTTTCTAGTTAACAGAACAGCTGTCCCAGGAGATCAGCCTGCGGGAGTCTTTGGAGGAATCCCAAGCAACTGTGATGTGTCATATACAGGATATGGAAACAACGGTAGAAGCAGAACGGAAGCAGGTTTGAGAAACTTTCAGTCTTTTGTATCTCTTTTCATTTTCTCATCTGGGAGGAAGAGCAAGAACTTGAATGTCGTTCCTAGAAACCAGTTAAACCACTTTATCACTACAACATTTTGTACAAATGTTGATCAGAAGAGATCGAAGTTCCTGCTCAAAGTAGTAGTATCACGAACACTGGATTGGGGCAGTGGTAGTTTTGTCTAGCAGCGTTCAAGGACTGTGATTCCATGGCTGGTTTAGGTATTTTTTTATAGCGCTGCAGTAATGTTCCAGTTAATGGAATGTTTCTTCTAGCATCCAATCTGAACGCTCCAAGCTTAAATGTGGGACCATTGCCCCTTCTTAAATCATTCAGTGCAACTGAAAAGAGTTTGACTTCATAATCTTTGTAACTACCTCTTGGATTTGTGGGCCACAACTGAATCCTGACTTAATGTCTTCTTCACCACGCTAAACAAGCCTCTTTATAATTGAGGTACTGATAAATAGGTAGAAATAAATAGAAAATGCAATAAATATTCTGTTGAGATTGGGAGTAAGAATGTTTTCTCCATTAATTGTCATGATGACAAAGCTAGATTTTTGTTCTCAGCTGTATTTGTATTATCTAGCTATTTTGGAGTGTGGGGAGGGGCCGTAGTTCATGGTAGAAATGAACTGGCTTACACGTAATCCAAATAAACAAAACCAATCCTCCTCTCTGCATGTGGACACACACACAAGCCATATGCAGTCACCCTAACACTTCTGCATTCATAGCAACAGTTTAGTAAGGATAAAAGAAAGCGAGTAGCAAAGTATCAAAACTTGAATAACTAACAGTTTGGGTTGTTTTCAATTTTTTGATGATCATCAAAGTCTCTTTGTTCCTGAAACATGCAAAGTTCTATTAGAAATTACTAGGTTTTTTTCCTACATGCCTTTTATTGTCTTTGTATTCTTCTACAGCAGAAGTGGAAAAATGACAGATACATTATTGAACTATATGAATTATACATCACGTGAGAAGCAAAGGCTTAGTTTAATTCATCTGTCAATTTCTGATGGGTATAGTTGACCCTGTGGTATATTTGTTAGTGTTAAAACAAAAAAAATTCCTCACAAAATTGCACGAGACAGACTTTTTAAGTGCCTTGAGCGTTGCATTCACCTTCATCTTTTAACTCTTGATCTTTTCTGTAGTCTCTAATTGTGAAAACTTGTTAGTTTCTGCGTGTCATATAAAGATGATTGTAAGCACACATATATTGGTTACATATAGAAACTGAGTTGCCATAAAAGTCTTCTGCATAAGATTGGGACAAGTAGAAAGAGAAGAGATACTGGTGAGGCTATATCTTTTCCAGTTAGATCAACTTTTCGGGCTCTGAAATTCGCTTAGGTTTGCCTGACTGAATTCTGCATCTTAAACAATAATCTGTGGTATCACTGCAGGTACAGATATTACAGCAGGACTGCCAAGAGTTGCGTAAAGATGTCCAGCTCGCCCGAGTTAGGCTGCAAGAGGAGGAGGAAAGAACTGCCCAACTGGAGCAACAGTGCACACAACTGAAAGCTGAGCTGGGTATGACAATGGGTTCTTGTCATATCTTTTTAGCCCTTCTCTCACTGCTTCCACAGTGAGAGGAAACAAGCTCTTGGGTCCTCTAGACCTGTGGCAGGTGTATCAGTCAACAAGAATGGAGGGCAGCTTAAGAGGTGATGAAATATTAAGTCCTTTAGTTTGTACGTGATATTTCTAAAGCCTCTTCTTACCAAGAGGAAACTGACAACAGGGGTAATCAGCTTAATGAATACACAACAATAATATGAAAAGATTCCATAGGCATAAATTCTTTTCAAAGGAGACTCATCTAGCATGTAACCATTAATGCATGGTTCCTGAACTGATGTGCAAGTAGAATGCCCATTGCTATTGAGTCTTTTTGCATCTGATTAAAAAAATGTGCTCTATTAAACATCAGTATAAGGACAAGCCTGTAGTTGATCTCATTTAGATTCCCAGTATATTGATGTGAAAGCAGCTGCTTATAAGGGAGCTAAGTGGCATTTAATGCACTGCAGGGTAGGGGGAAGGTCTATATTCTCAAAATTAAAGGTAAATGTTCCTGACCTAAAGTCTATTCCTTATTTCCAAATAACTCACAGTAACCATGCCTAAATCCTACCATAATCATTGTTCTTGTGACCCTTCCCTCAGGACCTATTTCAGATTTCTAGCTACTCCTTTTACAGAAGTTTTCCTGTTTCCCATATGTTTTGTTTGTTATTCTGTGAACCACACATGCCATAATTAAACCATAGCTCACAAAAGGCAGTCAGTGTTTCTGCATAAGGCATGGCAAGAGGAGAGAAACTTGTCATGTTGTGGCAGAGCTGGGTGAATGGGGGATAATGATGGCAAAAGCATTCTTTCCTTCAGAACAAATGCAAATGACAAATTTAAATGACACGTACAAATTTTCTTTAGTTCTGTGTCAACTAATCCTGCTTTTTCCCTTTGTTAATTGAATGAACTTTTAAGTGATCCTTTGATAATACTTTGGATGTCATAATATTTTTGGCTAGATTTCCCTCCCTACCCCGCTCATGCTGAATTGTCTCTTGTTGTCTTCCTTCTTTTACAGTATGTTATACACCACAGCAGAATAAAAGGCTAGCTATTATAGGCAGGTTGATTCAAGTTCAAACAAAAATGCTTCTGCTTTTAGACGTGTATATTTTACTCAGGGATCTAACTACTGTTCTTTGTCAATGCACAAAACTTGTAAAGTTGCATACGGGCTGTGGGTTATAGTCAGGACAAATCAGTTGCTTGCACACTAGACAGCTGAATAAGAGACAGGGTTATTTGATTTCCTCAAGCAATCACAGAAGTGGTATGTGTAGGAGACTGGCACGATGGCATGCTTAATTTTAAAATTAAATAAATTATAATTTATGGAATCAATTTTAAAAACTAATTTTTCTGAAATATTGAAGTTACCAAGAAGGGTGTTAAAAACCAACACATATGTAGAAGTCTTACCTGTTTTTGGCATATTCAGTAACTTAGCTAAACTCAAACATTAAATCAAAATGTCACCTTTTAAAATTACCCCACAGATAACAAAGCGTGTCCTGACATTCTTTTCTATTTTTAGACTCCAGGAACTGTATCATTTCCCAGCTTGGTGAAGAAGCAAAAGTAAGTTTTAAACAAGTATTGGTGAAGAAAATAGCTAAATAAAGATCAGAACAGCTTATATGGAACCTTTCAAATGCCCCACACTTCAGAGGCAGAATTTCTACGTGAACAAATGCCAAATGTGACCAAGGCTATAACCATTGAATACCTTATTTTATTATTTTACCAGTTTGGGTTTGCCCTACTTATTTTTTAAAAGATTAACTTGTATTCCACTGAAATGTCAAAACAGTGATATGAATGCCTGCCTTGCAAAGCTAGAACTGACCACAAAACACAGTTGTAGCACAAGTATTGCATACAAAGGAGACAAATAGATGGAGTGGTGATTAATGCTACAGAAAACTCAGGACCTTGGTCAACGGGGTACTAAATGGGCGAAGAGGTATGCTTACTGCCTGTGTATGCTGTCTCCTCTGAAAGAGTAAGTTTCAGTGAAGATGAGGTAAAAGTTCAGCTTAGACGTGGAGTCTTACAGCGCTGGCACAGGATCCCTTCAATTGTGAATTGTACCACTTCTGGCAGGGAGATCTTTTATGTTCAGAAGTGTTGAGATTACTCATTGTGGAGACTAATAAGTTTAAGCTCAGAAGTATATGAAGGCACCCTCAACTTTCAAAGCTAAGTTGGAGCAGGTAGAGCTTTGGGTACATTTCACAAAGAGGCTTGTACTACAAGATCCACGTCTGGTGCTTGCAAGAGCACGTAGCCATGTGACAATAGCTTAAAGGAGATAGACAAGTATGAAACAAAGACTTGATAATTGTGAAGTGCCTGACTAAATGACATTTAAATTTTTTCTCAATGGGTGTTCTGTTTTATTGCCCCTTAGAATGCACAGCTGTCCTTTAGCAAACAACACAAAGAGAATCTGCAACTTCAGTCTAAAATGACTGCCCTGCGAGAAACAGCAGAGAAGGTACAGGTAATAAGAATAGCTACTCTTGTTTTTAAAATGGAAATAAAATATAACAAAATAAGTGATTACAGTGAGAAATTATTATACATTTACTGGGAAGCCTCAGATGCAGGTCAGGAGACAAAGTTTAGTGCCCTCGGGTAATGTGGGCTAATGAACAACTTCCAGTAAAGGAATTCAATCACTTTCATAGGTAACTGTCCCAGATTTCCCCCCCTTAAGGCTGGAAGATTTTCTTCCCAGTACTTACTTTGAATCGACTTTTTTTGAAAGTGTCTTTTTCAGGGGCCAGGACATGCAGAACTACTGCTGCTCCCTCTTCTGTCTACCCTTGAAGTAGTACATTTATATTCCTTTGCAATTTTAGATTCTACATGAGTGTGTTTCTATTAATGATTCAAATACGGAGTACCCACTTGGCTAAAGTTTCCTCTATCTTTTGGGACAAAAGGTTTACTTCAGTATATTCTAAAAAAATTTATTTATTCTACTTTCTCTCTTTTTAGAACATATTTTATAAAACATTTTTCTATTTTTTTCCCTTTACCCCCCCCCCCTCAACAGATACTTATTTATTGAGTGGTGTTCACTGGTAATGGGATTTGGATATGCCTTCCACAGAAAGTTCCTTTTTTCTTTGGTTATCTACAATGATTCAGCTATGAAATTAGTAGCAGTCCATTTTTTGATTTTTGCCTTCTTTGCCTTAGAAACATTACCTTTTTTCTGGACTTCAAAACTAGTAAATTATTATGCTTGAGTTTAAACTGTGTAGTTTAAACTATGTTCCCTTTTTTCCTCCCTTTACTTTAAACTTTTTTTGCCTTCTTTGCCTTAGAAACATTACCTTTTTTCTGGACTTCAAAACTAGTAAATTATTATGCTTGAGTTTAAACTGTGTAGTTTAAACTATGTTCCCTTTTTTCCTCCCTTTACTTTAAACTTTTAACAGCTTGGAATAAGTCTACCATAAATTGGGACTACCTGAACAAATATTTTTGACACTTTCTACCTAAAATAGATTTTTCCACATCTGCAAGAGATTTTTTAAAAGTTTCTGACAGCCTACTGTGCAGAAAAAAAAAAAAAACAAAACCAAAACACTGAAAACTTGTTTGTCCTCCTCCTATCTAACCAGGTCCTTAATGACCACTTAAGCCAGCAATGCTTAGAGCTCACCACCGCACTCCAAAATGTTGCCATGGAGAATGCTAAACTCATTTCAGATCATCAGACCATACTTAAGGTATGTAGCCTACTATTAGAGTCCAAGGAAGTTGTCTGCAGCTCAGACGTTAGACAACAGACTAATTCCTAATACTGATAATCTGTGGGAATACAGTAAATTACTTCACATATAGCAATGGAATTTCTATAAAGGTGGTGATAAAAAAGTGTTAGTGTCCTCCTTTGGCAAAGATTTATTTTCAGTACAGAAGAAAAAAGTCATATGTTATGGAGAAAGAGTGTAAATATGATAATACTATTTATAGAAACATCCTGTAACAGCCACTGAGAAAGAGGAACGTAGGAATTAATGGGCCTTGTAAGTACTGCAAATGCAGAAGCTGAGTGGAAGTAATAAGGGTCTGAGATGAAATACATATACAAAAGCTAGGCAAGGCGAACTCAGTTTTGACACCCTATTCAAGAAGCAGCGCATCACAATATGCAGAGCTATAGGGATGATGTGGGACCTCGACAAATTAACAGCTTTGTGAATTAATTACTCGTCCCTCATCATTCTGATGTTGGGTAATTGCCTGGATAATTTTTCCCCTTTAGGCAGAACAAGAAAAGACTCGTAAGCTGCAAGAGCAAGACTCGCTTCTGAATGCTGCCCATGCTAACTTTCTGGGAGAGCTGCAGAGTGTGCAGCACGAGAGGGCTCAGCTTCAAAGAGAGCTGTGAGGAATTTTCTAGTCTGCCGCGTCTGTCTCACCACCTTGATTTCTGCTTCTCTAGCACTTGTTACTTATTAACACAGAAAGGCCAGTTTGGTATTTAATATGGAGGCCATCTTCTGTCCTTCGGTTGTGCTAGAGCTCCAGCTTGGCTGCTTTGTCTTTCTCTAGGGAGGCCTTGCGTACAGAGCATGGCAAATACAGGCAGAAAGCAAGCCTTGCTGAGGAGACAGCAACCACACAGAGACAGCTTTTGGAATGCACGGTTGCTAGACTGCAAGGTGAACTGGAGACAGCTTTGCAAGAGAAAGGATATCTGCTGGCAGAAAAGGAAGATCTTGAGCAGGAGGTATAGAACACTTATTCTTGAAGGCTGCTTTCAGACCCACATCACTAGAGTTCTTACTCTTTCATACCAGTTTTGCTTGCAGAATAATTATTTTTTGTTACTGCAGTGGAAAGTGTGACACGCTCTCCCCTTTCCCACTATGCTTATATTTTGACTTGTAATGTCTTCTCTCTGAAGGATGAAGAGGGAGGGAAGGTAGGGCAGCTCTGCAGATTACTGTTTCTGAACTTTGGAGTTCACTTGCAACCTTCAGATCAACTGTTCTGAAGATGTGTAGTGTTTCTATGAATCTGGACGTTTTCAGGTGACAATGATTTCACATTTCTTTTGACAGATAAGAACAACAGCAAATGAAACAATACAGGAAAGGAACAAATTGCAAGTAGAAAAAACAGAGAATGAGGTATCTGGTAATATATATGGCCGTTCTTTAAATTTAGTGTTGTCTTTCTCTAAGTTTTCCTTTCATTTTGCTTACCCTCTACTAAATTATTTCTAAATAATGTGATATTTACCATAGCCATATTGTTCACTTTGATGTTTGATTATTTTATTTTTTTTTTTAATCTATATGGATGTGTCCTTTAGAGCACCAACCGTACTGCTACCTACACAAGACTGTTTCTAGTAATAAGTTTGTTATGCTGCTATGGCAAATGAGAAATAATTTTGAGCTTCTCCTACCTGTTTTACCTGTGTAGCTTACTTGGCCATATGCATCGCCTGGAAAAGGAAAAGTAGCGTTTGTGGTATAAATGAGAAATTTCTTAGTGTTGTGACTGAACTCAGCATGACTATTTCACTGTTGTGGAAGAGCTCTCTGAAACGGGAGAGACTATACCTAATCCATATGTAGTGCTGAGGTTTTGTGATATTCATGTATTGTGACTGGAAATCTTGAAGTGGTATGACTAGAGTTGGATTTTCTTTTTCATAGGTAGAAATGGTTTCAATGAAATTCACTTTGCAAACACTAGAGGAAAAGAACAAGAGGCTATTGGATCACTTGGCCACACTAGTACATGAGCAGGTAAACTCTAATAAAGTAGATAACATGACCTGACTGATAAGTAACTGTAGCAGGAATCAAGGTGCTCTTTAAAGTAATCTGTATGTTATGGAGACTGACTGACCAAATTAAGGAATCCAAATGGGGAAAAGATGAAAACAAAAGTATAAGATACCTCAAATATTACTACATCTTTTTAGATGTCTGTGTGGGATGAGCTAAGAAGACTATATAGAGCTGAAGATATTGGACATCTAAGTATGTCATTAAAATCCTATGACTCATTTTCTAGTACAGGTATACAGCTTGTATATCTGTACATATATATTCAGCTTACGTGCATTGGGAAGGTATTAACAACAGTTTGATGCCCTTTGTGAAAAAAATTTGCACTTGGGACCTCATTCCCATATTTAACTTATTCCCATTCCATTAGTTCTCACTACTGTCAGTCACCTGGATCAGGATACTTGACCAGTTCCAGAAGAGTTGAGTAACAGCTCAGTAACACTGCTACCAGTGCTTTTACAATGTTGGATGTAATGACCAGTTGTATATGCTGGAGATCCTAAAAACACTTAGCTGCTGATAAGATCCTAACAACACGATGCTAAAGAAGAATTAACTGAAACATCTTTTGCATGTTTGTTATATGATAATCAAAGTTACATTTCTACAGTAGTTAGTCTGGAACGTATGGGTATCTTTTTCTGTTTAACACAGAACTCCTTTGGCAGTCATCAGTTAAAGAACTTGAATCAATAGAGCATTCAAAACCTTAAAAAGTTGCCTGATTTTAAATTTTTTTTGTATTCTTTACCGTGTTTCTACGTTATTTTAATTCTGTCCATGACTTCTCATTCTTCTAGCTCTTTTTGCTTCTCTGTTCCCTGTTGTCAAAGGTTTCTTTCTCCATTCTTCTCTCCATTTCTGTGCTTCTAGGACAGTGGCTGCCTTGTGGCTATCTGGAAGGCTGTACCAATTTGAGCAGTTCTTCCTAGAGATTAAGCTGTCTTGGAGGAATTTATGCCATTTGGATATTTTTATATTTTTTTAAAAAAATCTGTTTTAGTGTTTCACCTAATTGAAAACTTATACCTGAAACAACAGAGGAAAGTTAAAATACTCAGGACACTGAACACTTTTTTTTGTTGTTGTTGCTGTTTACCCTGTTTTTCCTACGGAATGGTGACATCTGCTCCTTTTTCTTCAGTATGCCCAGCAGCAGGTGCAGCAGGTGCTAGCAGAGCTGACTGACAGCAAGAATAAACTGATCTGTGACAAAGGAAAACTTCAGGTACCTCTCAGCATCCTATTTGTCAACTCAAAAGGGAAACTCGGTTTTTATGTTCATCTAAGATAAGGTTGTTTAACTTTAGTTCTTCAGTACTTAATTTGGAGGGAAGTGTTTATTTGTGTATTGTGTCAAGCACATATATTAAGAGAGTTCTGTATCAAAATCCTCTTCGATCATGCTCATACTGCCTTTGGGTGACAAGATGCTATTGATGTAGCATCTCTACAATTTGTGATAATTAAGTTGCTTAATGTAAGAAAATAGCAGAATGGCTAGGAACCACCAGAGGGCATTAAAACAAAACATATGGGTAGAAAATTGGTTGAAAGATTAGAAACATGGAAAACTTTATAAAAACTACAATTAATAATGAGGCATGCAAACCACAGTGGTGAGCAAAAATAAACAGCATATGTAAGCTTGCTTAAGCAGAAGTTAGCTAGACAGTAAATGAGGTGCTGAAAGTAAAGCTTTTACTTCAGTGTGACCTGTGTCATAGACTTTGGGACAGAGGTGCAGATTCCTGAGTTTCTTTCAAAAACAGCACAGAACGTGTAGTGATTATTAGAGAGCAAGAAAGCTTCATTTATGCAATAGTCCTAGGTCGTACTTAGATTAAAACAAGATGAATTCTAATCTGGAATTATTTCTATGGAAGGGTAAGTTAGAAGCGATTCACTTGCTGCTTTTCCTGCTATGGGACTCAGGGAAAAGAAAACATTTGTTGTTGGCAGAGAGACATTGTCATATCACTCTGCTTCTGTGTTCCAGTTAAGATAATGCTTTTCCATTTCTGCACTAAAAGAAAGTTGAGCTATTTTGCCACATCTCTCTTCTTAAGGCTGAAGTACAGAAGCTGGAGGAAGAGCTGTAAATGCACGTTTAGATAATGTCGAGCTTTGTGTCTTGCATAGAGACCAAATACACTCAGGTGAAACAGAACTTTGAGAACTTACACCTCAGAATTAGTGTCAGACTAACTAATGCTTTGTAGCCATTAGAAATCAGATTCAACACACTTTTTCCTGAAGAACAGAGCGTATGTCTAATGCTAACTGTATCATTCTAGGCTGCAGCTGGAAGCAGAACCTGATTTTGTCAAAACAAACATGAGAACTATGGAAGCTCAGCTAACAGGGCTGGTTTTCGTGCAAATTGATTGCATGTATTCAGGCTAGAAAACACACAGTTTACAGGCTTATAAAGATAGTCCTCAGAATTCATTATTATTTTCCAGGAAGAGAACGAATAGATGCAGATAATACTTGTCTAGCTGTATTGCTGGGAGGCAGATAGTTACTCTGCTTCAGTCTGTTCACTCAGTCTTAACACACCTCTTCTCTGTACTTCTGTGTATTATCCTGGGCAGTGAAATCAAGCTTGTAGGTATAAGACTGTGAAGTGGACTCTGCTCTGTCATGAGTTTTTAAGCTGTAAGTTCAAGTAACTGCATTGAGACTTCTGTTCACAAGCAAGAATGAACTTGTAACAGTAAATGCTCTTTACAGACTCCCTTGCTTTTCAGACACCAGAGCAATCTTGTAATCATTTTGAGTTGGAAAACTAAAGAGGCAAAAGTGACAAACTGTCAATCATATCTATAATCTCAATCTAGAAACTAGACAGAAGATGTAACCATGTTTAGGACGCTTTCCTGGAACACGGGAGGTCCTATTTTTGCCTTCTGTCTCCAGAAAGCAAAATGACTCAACGTTTCTCCATCATAGATGATGGTCCATCAGTCAAAGGCAGTTGGCTATTATGTTGATGATTGGTATCCACGAGCTGAATGCTTTTGGGAGAGTGGAAACACCAATTCTGTTGGTTTGTGGATATAGAGAACTAGCTGTAGAAAGGTCTCACAGCTGGAGCAGACCAGAGGGGTGCTCAGAACCAGGGGACTCTGCTGGCTCTGTGGAGCTATGACAACGGCTGACATCACGGACTTCTAATGAAGTTCCGGTCAGCACTGCATCTTGCTGCTGCCACTTTGGATAACGTGCTGTGGAAAGTATCACAGAAGAGAACTTAAATATCTTCCTGAAGTGATGCAGACTTAGGAATAAGGTGTAGCATCCACTTCTGCTCCAGTGAATAGATGTTTTGGAGAGTGTTTTTGGTACTCGTATCTTCACCGCCTCCAAGGGCTGACTGATTTTTTGGCAGGAATGGCACCAAAAAGGAAAAAATCCCCAGCAAGGTCTTGGCAGCAGAAGTTTCCTGATCATAATACTAGGTCAGCTGCAGGCTCAAGAGAAGAAACTGTGAAATCTGATTTACGTGATTGTGCTCACTGCTCTACTTTACATCGAGTTCATTTGGAACAAAATGAACGGTCAAGGAACTCTGCGTCTGAATGTGGAGATAGTCCTAGGGTCAGCCAGAGGATTCTGTTAAGTGCTATAAAGAACATGGGAGAAAAACTGGAGAATATAATTGACATTCTCACTCCAAGAAGGTCTTTGAAAACTGGATGGTCTACTGAGACCAATGAAGGAGACACTAATGTGAGTGACGATCATGAAATGCAAGTTAAAATGATGGTTAATTTCGGTTGACTAATTGATGACAATGAAGAAATGGCTGAAAATTAACAGGGACCAAAACCTTTGGTTGTTTTTTGTTTTAAAGAGATGCAGATGAAAACTTAGGCTAAGCAACATTGCAGCCAACAACCGGTTTTGACTAAAAACCCAGCTTCATGTATCTGTGGCTCTTGCTGAAGCCTGGGTACAAAGAGTTCAGAAGCATTGGAACTCTCAGTTAAAACACCCACAAAAAAACCCCAAGAACACCACCACACGTTCGGCTTGGGCTTAGACAGGGGGTAGAACAAAGGTTATGTAATTAGAGGAAGCTATTGCCATGTTCAGAAACATTGGATACTCTTGGCACTGCTGCAAGCATGCAGGTTACTTATAACAGAATCCTTTAACAAAACTAATAGATGACTGATTTGCCTGCTCCTTTTCCTAATGATTTCTTGTACTTCAGATGGCAAACTTGCAGCACCAGCTGGACGCAGCAAAGGGTGATAACAATAAGGCGACATCCATGTTGGAGAACGTGTTAGCTTCTCATAACAAGATGCAAGCAGCTCTGGATGCGATACAAACTGAGCTGGGACACAAGGACACTGAAATAAGCAACGTCAGAAAAGAGAAGTAAGTGAAACAGATACTGTTTCTGTGGTCTTAGCAGTGGGGTTGATACAGATACAATTGAAGAGTGGCATCTTCCCCATGGTTCTGGCTAATAAGCTGTAGGACAAGTTTGAAAAGTTTCTATATCCTTTCCTGCAACACTGAAACGGTACTAGTGAACCAAGTACACCAAGTGCTTGTAGCCAACTCTGCAAGCTTGGCAGGCGTTGTGCATCTTGGGGAAAGTAGGTAAAAAACAATTTAACTTCAGTGACAGACAAAACTTAATATGGTGACTGTATTGAACCAAACTGTGAGATGGTCACCTCTTCAGAAGAGATGTGCACAAATTGACTTAACGCATGTTAATCATATGCATCCAATTTCCATTTTCAGGACCCAGACTCAACAAAAAATACAGAGGTTAGAAACAGAATTGGAAAATTGCCAAGCCAAACTGGTTGCCATGGGAAGGCAACACAGCAGCCAGGTAGAGACCATATTTTTCCATAGTAACAGCCACCACTGCATGTTTGGTGTTGAGCGAAGTGTTCTTTTTCTGAATACAGTATGGTGTGATACATTCATGTGAATCAGTGCAAAAATATTCTATCAACTTTTGGCTGTGGAGCAGGAAAATCATTATCCAAGTGTTGAAGGAGGGAAGCATCACCTCTCTAAAGAAAAATTCCTTGGCATGGGTGAAGGTTTTACAGTCTGCAGCTGGATACATAATATGAACAGAGATCTCAGAAGTTTACATAGCCTTTATTTTTTTCTTATTAGAATGGAGGGGAAAAGAGTCCAAGCAATTCCTTTCATCTCTCCTCATAATACTTAGTGTCAAAAGGATTACCTCACAACCCAAACGCACTCACTATTGGCAAAGAACAGGGTTTTTTTTCCAAGAAAGTCATGTCTATATGACAAGTTGTTCTGACCCTTCTGACTAAGCCAGTCAATGGATTGGAATTGTAAGGATTCCCATCTAGATGCCTGTGCTTAGGACACTTGTAATCAGACAGTTGGTGAACCCAGTGTTACTTCCTGTAAGTTGATACTGACTGGGAAGGAAAAAAATATTCCATTCTAAGTTTTTTCATATGGGTAAATATAAATCTGATTTGTTGTTACTGCACAGGTGGAACTACTTTGTAAGGCACTAGAAACTGCTAGAGCGGACAACAACAAACTTGTTTGTCATTTGGAAGAAGTTCTGCAGGTCAATAATAACCTGCAAAACAAGCTGATCCAAACTCAATGGGAACTGAAAAGTAAAGAAACAGAGCATCAACAGCTGATGGTCTGCAGGTAAGACCAGATTCACGATGTTACACTTGAGGAGAAACATTACTGTGCACTAACATCAGAGTTTTATGGCTTTATTCATCTATCAATATCAGCATTGACTGTATGCTGAGCCAGCAGCACAATAAAGATAGATTCATGCAGAGCTATAGAAATGGGCTCTTTCACTCGTTCCCATAATGACTGTTTGGCCTACTCTGCTGTACTGAGCAACTGCTTACCCACAGTCATTATGGCACCTCTACAACAGCTTTTTCCATGAGGATAGCAGATTTTCACTTCCACTTTGAAGTGGCGTGCAGTAGCTGTAGCAAGGAGAACACAGGATAGCTGTTTAAGTTCCCTACCCAAAACTGAACGCTAGTAAGTAAAACCTCAAACTAACTGTAGGTGCAGTCTGAATCTACTCATTATCCTTTGTCTCAACAGGCTTAGCCATTTAATTTTCTGTGGGAAATTAAGTTGTCCTATTTTTTTTTTTCCCCAAAAAGTCTATTTACCTTGTATAGCTATTTTGAACCTCCTTTTAAATAAATGGAGTATGAAATAGCAGAAGACATTCCAATCCTTGAACAGTAGCGGTGCAGAGAGGTATCCAAGGCAAAAGTATTTACAATGGAATTGTCTTTCCTTATCTTGTATTTAAAAAATAAAGCATATTAAATATAAATGTGAATTCTTGATTTGTTTCTTCTTTTTAAAGGGAACAGTTAATGGAAAAAGTCAAGACTGAGGAAAAGATGTATGCTGAACGCTTAAAGTCTTTGAAGAAGCAGTTTCAAACTGAGCAAGAGGCTTCCAGGAAAGCTGCCTGTCAAGAATCTGTTGAGGTTAGAAGAGATAGAATTAGAAGATTTCAGTGAATGATTTCCAGAAGAGTTCTGTTTTACAATTTTCCAACAGAACAAGAGCAGCTCATGACAAATACTTGTCTCCTTTTCCATTCATCATGGAGTTGTCCATCACATGTATATAACAAACAGAATTGTATCATGTGGTGGACAGACATTTTAGTGGCCATGCATATCTGTGCTCTCTTAACTTTTTCAAGTACCACTCTATATCCCTCCACACTATATACCTTATTGTACATAAGATCTAGACATTGATATTGGTCATTCAGTGACTTCAGGGGGATAATCTGGAGTAGTATAGCAATCTTCAGGGATAAAATACTGGTTTAGAAGTCTGCTTTGTTTCTTGGGGGCTGGATCATAGGATCATAAGGCTCAGCATAAAATTACTATTACTCAGATCCCATCATTCACTTTTTTCCCTTTGTTAGAAGGGTATTAAAGTCAAAACACCAGGTGCTGTAGCATACTTCAGATACAGCAAATCAATTGGGTGTGCTCGTTAATTGTTGCATAGAATGAACTAACTCTTACAGTTAATGTGAACTCACTTTTTCCTCTTTCCCCTAGGTAAAGAAATCCCTTGAAGAATCCTCCTCCAAATTGGCTGAAGTTTCCCATGCTAACAGGGAGCTGCAGCAGAAAGTTACAGAGCTGAAAAAGTCTTTGCCCAGTTACACGGAAAAGCTAAAAAGCGAAAAAGCTCAAGTTAGACAATGCCTGGCCTGTAAAGCTAACACAGAAAGGGTAAAGGTATGCACACATTTGTCAATAAAGACAGATGTCCTAGTTGAGAAATCCTCCTTTTTTCTCCCACTGAGGACTGCTGTTGATCCTTTGTGGTGGAGCTAGACTTGAAAAGAAAACTAACTCTGGACTCAAATTCTGAACAGAAGATGAATGGATCAATAACAGCTACAGTGATTGTGTGGCTTCTCCTGTTGTCCCTCCCGCCCATATTAAATATTAGATTTTTACAGTAGCATTTGTCATCTTTATAATTTTGTAGATATAGCCTATTTAATTATTGATTGGGCCAGATGTTGCTTGTGTAGCGATTAGTCCCTTTCCATCCTTTATAGCCATAGAAATTACAGTTCAACTGGAACCTGATCCCAAATGAGGATCTAGACTCCTTTGCAACTCTGCCACCTGCTTGTTCTTGTTCCCTTTTCCCCGGTGGGGCATGGGTTCTCTTAACTTCAGTCTCATAGGGCAAGAAATAAGGACACAATGTGCAGAAATAGCTCCCATGTAACAGCCAGTGAGCCTGAAAAATTCCTGAAGTTTTGTTTCTCTTAACGATTTCCAGGAGACTGAATCTGAACTGAGGAAAATGGAAGCAATAAAAGAGGAGTATCAGAAGAAGAATTATGAACAAGTGAGTTTGCGTGACCAGTTTCCTGAAGAGACTGAGCTGCTAAGGTGTTTTTGGAATTTCATTCTTGTGTTGTCTTCAGTCACAGGACATCCTGAAACTTGTGTCAGCGTTGAAGAGTGTGCAGAGCGAGATGGAAGTGTTGAAAAACCAACATGAAGTGCAAGTGCAGAACAGGCAGCTGGAGACCCAGCTGGAAGCGGAGAGAAGGCAAAGGCAGCAGCTGGAAAACGAATGTCAGGTAAAGTGCTAACAGCATGACAAAGTGGTGAGGCACCCGTGGAAGCATTTTTGTGCAAAATCTAGGGGGTTGTAGAAGAGGTAGTAGAAAGACTTTATGAACTCAGTCAAAAGATACTCCTATAAATCTTACTCTGTCTGCTCCAGAAAGCCCGAGTAAAAACTTAACATACATTCACTATATGTCTAACTTTAGAGAGAGACAGGTTGTGGTTGTTTTTTTTTTAAATTACAGAACTCTAAGCTATTTACAATAAAGATTGGAGAGTCCTTCTGTTACATTGCAATTTTTTATTTGTGCCATGAAAAAACTGTATAGAAGTTAATTTCTTTTTCTACCTAGAAACTGGAAAAAACAGTCAAATATCTAAAGAAATATAAGGAGGAGACAGAAAAGAAATTGAAGGAAGCCAGCATAGAGTCAGAACAGGTGAGACTAGTCAGCATTACAATAATAATTCATTGAATGTAACAAGATAGTATTTCAGCACATGCACCAAGTAACCCTTTCAATCTCAGGTCTAGGTCTCTGGGGAAGACTGAGGTGCATCCTTGGCCTTTTCAACTGAGTGACACTTATCAGAACATTTAAAAAAAAAAAAAGTTTTTATCTTTTCTGTGAATCACTTCAATTTACTGGGACTTTTAAGAAGAGCTTTTGTCCCCCACAGCCTATTGTTTTTATCAGGCTCAGCATAACTATGTTAACCAACCAAAAGTGTTGTGGCCAAGTAGATTGTCCCCCCTGAGCTGCTCTTGTGTCACTCTACGTGACATCATGCAAAACCACATTTCCCACCCACCCTCCTGCCCCAAGAAGTTATTTGTTCTTGCATCACCTCATCCTTGCACCACTGTACCACAATATCCAAATAGGTTGCATGGATTACTGTAGTAGTTTGGGGTGAAAATCTAGGGGGTTAGATGTTTTATAGGGTATTAACCTGCATAAAGTAAAATAAAAAAGTAATAGAGGTGCCCCAGCCTGAGGTCTTACATGCTGCTTACCAGTCCGAGTACTGTTCTGTGATTAGAAAGAGACCTTAATAGCAAGAGAGTATTTTTCTACAGCATTCTTCAGGCAGAGTTAGTCTTCTGTCATCTTTTTCAAGAGTTCGTGGTACTCTGCATCCATTTTTTACTCCCCTTCTTCCCAACGCCTCTGTATTTTACACTGTGTTGGAGACCTATGTTGACTTCATTACGTTCTAAGCGAGGGGCAACTCTCCGATACATCCTTTTCACTGCACTGGAAGGGGGCATCGTGGAGAGCTCCTACCCCTACGGACAGGAAAAGGCTGAGTTGTATTCTGTTCTGCCCCTTCTTGCACAGAGCTCAAGAACTGGAACACCACATGCATTAACTGTTATCTCAGCCGTTCTCATTACACTGTTTTCCCTAGATCACAACTAGCCTAGAAGAAGCTCAGCGTTGGTTCAAGTCTAAGTTTGACAGCCTGAAGGTAGAAGTTGTGAAAAACCACCAGCCAAAGAACCCTGAAGAGCTCCAAAAAGGAGATAAAGAAAGCAAGCACATTCATTTCAAAGGGGGAAGCAAAGAAAATATGTGGGAGAAGTATTTGGTAACTCATTATCAGTCAGAATTTCAGTTTCCTAAACTTTCTTTTGTAGTTCCATACACAGGGGTAGAAAACAGACGCCTCTTCTAGTTTAGTTTGTTTTCTCCTCTTTTGCCACAGGACATATTTAAACATCAGAGTATTACAGGTACAAGATAGCTTCAAGGAACTGTTTCTCTTAGAAAAGTTTTGTTGCACATACTTCATGTTTTGTTGATGCTCATTAACCAAATACTTGCCTGAAAGCTAACAACTAGTATATTTTCTTCCCTGCATTCACTTCTGTTTCAGTGGTTCTCCATCCCCTCCTTTTAGAGATACCCTTTCAGAAGCTGTGCTTACCTTGTTTGTGTAGATTCATCAGCCTTCTCCGTAATTGATAGTTCTTATGCAGCTGTGTAATTAGCTTTTTAGAGATGTATGTATTAAACTTCTAAAACTTTAATCTCTTCTTTAGTAATGGCAAAGATTCCCCAGTCATCAGCTTCATAAAACTTTTCATCTCTTCCCAGCAGAAAAAGCCAGAAGAGCTTCCCGCGCACACCTCCCGGGACAGCAGGGCAAGGACCCAACACCTCCCAGCTGACCAGCAGGGAGGCCCACGTGAGCTGGGCAGGAAATGAGCTCACTCGACTGGGTGATTCCCAGCCCAGGGAGAGCATCACCTGCTGCCTGCAGACTCCCTGCTAGCACCCAGCTGCTGGAAGAATCGGGAACTTCACTTGATCTGACATAGATCTGTCTGTGTCAGTGTCACTGCGAAGGCCTTGCAAATAAGTAGTGCTCACAGGACATCCATATATAGGGGACGTAGGAATGGTTGTTTAAATTATAAACTCCGATTTGAATTAACTCATACCTCTCACCTTGTCTTTTTGACTCAGGTGCTTTGCATTGTGAGGCTGAAATTAGCAAAACTACTATTTATAGCAAAACGGTTATTCTTTAATTATCATTACTGTAAACTATATGCTGTTGATATGCTACATCTTTGCTTTCATCCCTTTTCTTTTACCAGCCTTAGACTAAGGCCTGGCAGGTGCTATCAAAACAGATCTCCAGCTGGTTTGCAGAGGGTTCAGGTGAATTGCTGAAAACCGAGTCATGTGTCTGTGGCTGGATGCTGACGTGACTGGGACAGGGAGGAACTGGCAGGACTGGCTGCTTCTAACGTAGGTGATATCTGGGTCATGAGAGAACATAAGCCTTGGGCTATTTTAGGAGCATATAAGGAATGCATTAGGTGTGTGATGTTAAACCACACATCATCTTACCTTCATAAGAATTAGTGGAATTAGTTCAACCTGTCCTACTGTGGAACAACACACTGGGGAATGAGTAGTTGAAGCAGGTGACTTATGTCATATGTTGAAGATGATTATAACATGGACAGTTTTCATGGTTGTTCAACTAAGGATCAGTTCATCTTCATCCTGGCTCACTCTTCCACATGGTTTCAATACAACCTAGCTTCAGTACAGGTGGTGTTGCACTTGGGTCTGCTTCAGCAGAGCTGTTTGCAAACTCCTCTGTGATCAGTGGTACTGTTGATTTCTATGGGATCTATTCATGTTATTTGTAATGCTTGTTTGGTGGGGAGGGAAGTCTTGCATCCCTCAGGAGCCTAGGAGTAGCCGGAGGATGTGCTGGAATTAGTTCGTTCTGCTCCTTCAGAAATTTGATCCTAAACTACAACTTACAATAGGACTCTGGATTAATTCCTGGTGACCTGAGCCTCTCCTCCTTGAAGCAAACAGCTCTTCTATGGAACAAGGGGTGGCTGTGCATGCTATTAAAGCTAATGCACAGCTAAGCTTTATTAAATCATGCTGCTTAAAAGCAGGCCTGTGCAACATGTCTTTAGATTCATCCCAGTCAAGCTGGTTCCTTCAGAAATCAATTGGCATCTATTCCACACCTGCTCCCTAAAGCTGCTGAGGTGGCTTAGCATAAGCTGTGCCTCTCTACCACCACAGTGCCCTCAGGCAAACAGCCATCAAAACTGTAATCTAGTTTTGCTTGCTGTGAATTCAAACTGTAATCACAGCTGAGAAACAGTCCTCTCAAGTGGCACTTGCCATTTAACACTTTTGTTTATGTTGAATGCTTAAGTGGGCTGCCTAACAAGGGACAAATGATTGTGACCTCTGCCTGCGCAAAAGGACAAAGCATAGGGCAGCTGTGTTTGTGTGAAGTGCAGGTCGGTAGGGGAACAGCACCAACCACCCCTTTGCAGGAGTTTTTACCAACATATGGTACACCTCAAGGGCTGGTTCTTCACCCCTCCCTTATCCCAGAATCCCCTGCTCTCTCCAGGGCCATGCACCTGCAGTTAGTTTGTATACTGAAATGCAAAGTCTGATTATATAGCTGCGGCCATTAAATTTGGTACAAGTACACAACAGACAAGAACATGTTATTTTCTTTAAACACAGTAATTTCAATAAAGGTGTAGTAATCTAACACAGCTGCTACCTGCAGGATCAATAATTGAGGTCTACAGTGCCAGCCTTTCCCCTGGCTTGGTAGCTGCTAAGCCTCTCTTAGTTGTAGTAACATTTGCAGTATTTAAAAATAAATTTTCTAAGCAGCAAAAAGGTTGGTTGCTTTATTTCCTGTCAAGCTGTGGCCTTCAGCAAATGTGGATAGCAAACAGCTTTCTACACTTGTCAATGCTGGTATCGGGTAAGCACAACTGAAAAGGTATGATTCAGTTAACCAGTAGATGCTTTTATGAGCAGTCTTTTAAGTATGCCTTGAGTTAGTGTTTTATAAAAGTAGCTCTTCAGCTATAACCAGCTAACAAAATTATCGTGGTTAAACCAAGTAGTTTGATATGTCATGTGTTTTACTGAAACTTATTTATTCTCTTAGTAAGGCTTGAGGAATATTCCCAACATGCTGACAGGTGAGGCTGGCATCGATTTTAGTATTCTTTCCCTCATAGTCTCTTGTTCTCAGCGATTTATGAAAGCTTTCCCAAAATTTCATGGCTGGATTTCAAGCTTTTCCTGACTCGCTGTTTGTTCCCACACATTCCAAGGTCAGGTTGGAGGAGGCTCTGAGCTACCTGATCTAGTTGAAGATGTTCCTGCTCATTGAAAGGGAAGGTGGACTAGATCACCTTTAAAGGTCCCTTCCAACCCAAAGTATTCTGATTTTACGTTTCAGTAGAATAGTCCTTACAGTGAAGGATAATTATGAAAGGTGCTGAGTTAATCTCCCTCAGTCTTACTTTCTTGTGAGCATACTTAAAACAAGCGACAGCCACGTAAGCCATATAGCGCATGCCAAAATAAATCCCATACACATGCTCATACCCCAAGAAATATCTGTGTTTCAAACTCAATCCCCTGTGTACCCTCACATAAAATACAATGATGAAATGTGCAGTACATGTTCACAACTTCATCGTTTGAAAAAGAATTCCAAAGTAAAGGCACTTTATTAGCAATATTGCAAGTGAAATGTGGTTTAAAACTTACCTGATTATTGGACAGTACAGCTGTGGCTACATACTAAAAACCTGAATTATCATATGTATTTTTTTTGTACGCAGCTCATGTTCTGTGCTTTGCTTTTCCTTAAGCAGGTCAGTTCACATGGGCTGTGCATGTTTAAATTTCTTTTTATTGGGGATCTTACATTGCTACAGCGCCTATGTTGTCTCCTGCTTTGTCTGAAGTCTTGTCTAGTCTAATTTGTTACTGCTGCACCATTACAATATAACATATCTATCATATTGTGTGAAAGAGAAATCTAAGTAAAAGACAATTTATCTCATAACCATGAATGCAATTGGATATAGCTAAGGAAAAAAAATCTATCTTCATATATAGTTTCATTCCACAAGCATTTGAGAAAGCTCTAGATAATTGGCATTGAGACAAGTAGTACCTCTTCCTTCCAGATGCTCAAAATTGTTTAGAACATCCTTTCAGAACACTATTTGCTAGCAGTATGAATCTTCCAGTCCATATTGACTGGGTTTAATTAAATGCAAGTTTCTGTTATTTGGTGCTTGAAAACAATCTAGAAAGCAGTTTAAAAGTCATCAACTTTCAGACTGTATTTTTCCTTTCTATTTGTATGCTTGCTAAGAGTCACACCTCTTGGATTTAAAAACTACTTCAGAATTCTAGCAGCAGTAGGCATCAGAAATAAATGAAGTAATAGTAATGCCTTAATGTTGGTCAATTTTTAAGACAATTCTTAAAAAAAACCAAATCATAACCTTCCTCTATGTCAAGTCTATTTAAAAAAATGTACAAGCGATAGGATACTGAGTATTTCAGTCTCAGTTTTGGAAAAGAGTAATACAAAGGGAATGTGTGCACTGGATCTCTGCCTTCTGTTTTCTAAGCTCTAGTTCAGTGCTGAGGGCTGTATTTCCTGGAACATGAGCATTCACTGCAAGAAGAAAAAGAATCAATGGGGTTACAAGATGCAAAAGGCCAATAAAGAATAAGGGCAGCTTCAAGGGAAGAATTTTTACCCCAAGACGATGCAACAATACTATGCTTGTACATATGTTGTGAGTCAGCTCCAGGGCACACAGCAAACAGTTGACTATCATGTCAAAACCACTGCTGAGGTATCACAAAGAATGAGAAAAGAAATGGAGGTAAGGGAGGCATTCTCTCCCTTCTTCTACAGCTGATGACTACCCCAGGCTAACATAACTAAAGTGGTTATTTAATTTATAGTTCTGCAAACTTGGCATGGGGCTTGTATTTAGGCAGTGCTGCCAAGTACTATTTCCAAGTAAAACAGGCTGTACTTTTCCGAACTGGTGAGACTTTCTTGAGTGTTTGTCTCACCTTTGTGTTCTCACTATGGCCCAGCATATCTCTCGTTAAGTGGACATGCAATATAGTGTAAATTAATATTGAATTTGAGAGAAAATTGCCTTACCTTTAAAATTAGTCTTGGCAATTCCCCAAGACTTGTTTCTTAATCATTGATTGCAATTGTCTGAAGTAATTACAGAACGCAAATACATATAAAAGTGGGCTGAAAGCAAATAGCAGTAGTTAGCTGTGATACGGTAAGTAACAAGACTGGTTGGGAGGCAACAGCACAGTGTGCTT